AAGTTTTTGGTGGTGGTAAGATCAGAAAAGATACTATTTTTGATTCTATCAGAGAATTCTCCTTTCTCTGGATTAGCAATAGAATTAGAAAACTTGTTTTTTCTTAGAAGTGTTGGTTGCAATTCCCTTTATAATATTTTTTGTTTGTTCTCTAGTATATATATTTTTTTTCTTTTTTGAAATGGCAAATGCATTTATAAATATAAAAAGGCCACATTCTTAGCAAGTAGCTACAATATGGGCAGTTACAAAAAGGTAAGAATCGTATACTATGTTTTAACAAAATGGAGATATGATCCAATCGATTCACCTAAGTTTTACATCAGGAGTTCTATATTTAAACCAAGCATACGCTTGTGAAATCACCTCATCTGTTATTTTTTCAGGGCTTGCATGTATTTGCTTAAAGAACTTATCATTTCTTGCTTTCCATATGTACCATAACAAACCATAGCCAATCACATTAAACATTTCCTTCTTGCGTGGACAGTTCCCCAGTTTGTCATGAAATTGATAAAGTCTGTCACATTATTAAGCATCGTGGTCCGTATTCCACACTAATTAAAGATGTGTACTTGAGCCTCCATGGCAATATCATAGTTAATTAGTAAATGATCGCTAGTTTCTTTCTCCTTATTGCAAAGAGGACATGTATCACATGAAACTTTGATGCATGTTACCTCTAAATTTGTTGTCACCAGGATTCTAATTGACACGACTCTCCATATAAAGCATTTTATCTTCAATGGAATAGCCTTGAACCAACTGATTTACACACCATTATGTGGTGTAGGGGCTTTAGAATCAATCACTTTTCTTAGAGATCTCATTGAGTAATTTCCATCCGTGTTCCAGTTGAAACGAAAACGATTCGTAATAGTAAACAGATTAACATTTTGAAGGATTGCGCATAGGTTTTCGAAGTCACTTGCAACCTCATTATCCATACGTTGTGTTTTCCAATTCCATTTGAAACTAGTGGTGTGAATCCTATTTGCAATTGCACAAAGCTTTAACTTGTCCAACGCATAAAGACGATGAAATCGCTCTTCGAGGGTAAGTGAACCACACCATCTATCCTTCCAGAATAAGAAACTTGTATTCGAACCAGGGACTATCATGAAAATAGCATAATAATTGACGTCAAAATCAGGTTGGGATTTGATTGCTTTTGCTATGTTGCACCAGGTTCCGTTTGTCGGTTCTTTTGCAATACAAGTGACTGGTCATTTGTTCAAGTTATGAATGCAATTTACATATTCTTTCCATAAACCGACGAGCCCTGATTTGAGTTTCCACCACCATTTTGTTAATAAAGCTAGATTTTGTTCCTTTAGTGTCCCAACACCAAGACCCTCATCAACTTTGTCTGCTACCACTTTTGACCACGAGACCCAATGTATTTTTTATTCGATGACCCCTCCCCATTAGAATCTTCTATGCAATTTCTCTAGTTCTTCAATGATTACAGCCGGTGCTTTAAAGAGAGAGAAGTAATAAGTGGGGAGGCTATTAAGAACCGACTTGATTAGGGTGAAATGACCCCTAAATGACAATGTTTTTGCCTTCCAAACCGATAATTGTGACTGAAACTTGTCAATTATCGGTCTCCAATGTTTTTTTAAGGACATATTTGCCCCTACTGATACTCCAAGGTAGGTAAACGAGAAAGAGCTTTGGAGACATCCTAGCACATGTGCCTAACGTTGGAGGTATGGAATGCCAATCCCAAATAACCGGGATTTTTGAAAATTGACTTTCAAACTGGAGCTCATGTGGAAACATTTCAAGATTCTTGCCAGATTTTTGATGCTTGTGATATCACATCTTCCTACAAAGATTGCATCATCTGCGTAGAAGAAATGTGAGAGAGACGGTCCCATTTTCTCTAGTTCATTGTTAGTGTTTTCCTTAATAATATGATTAGCTGTTTCAAAAATAATTTTATTTACTATAAAAATAAATTTTGAGACATTGTTGATGCCTGTGCCTAGATCTTTTTAGATACAAGCACTTTTACAGCCTTTTTGCAAAATATTTTATTTTTTGATTTTAATTTAATAAAACAAGATTGATACAATCGAATTTTAATAATTTGCTGGTAAGAAATTAATATTTCAAACTCGTAATCACATTTCAAAATGTATTTCTTTTGTGATAATTTTAAAGTATAAGGTAGGTTTTCTTTTCAAAAAGCAACAACTAAGAAAACTTATACATGTTTATAGATGTCCGTTAAATTACATAGTTTATATAAGCTACGTGAATATTTATTTATAAATAACCTTTTTTATAGTTTATTGAAATTAAAAAAAAAAAATCAAAATTACTTTTGCATGTTGCCAAAAAGGTGCATAAAGTCCGAGATCTTCTCCTTGACGTGGGGTTTGTGTTTTCTTACATAATATGACAAATTCACTGAAATTTGACTTTTATTTTACCACCCTTTTTTCACTTTGACTTTCCTTGTTTCTCCCAAAATCACAGTCCATACCCAATTTGAGTATTTGCAATTTTGCATATTAAAATTAAATTCTTCAATTTCAAGAAATATGTACTAATAAATTAAAACTATTTAATATAAAAGGTGACCTAGAAGTGTGAAAAGGGAATTGTAATAGAAGAAAAAAGAAGCATAAATAGTTCAAATTCCAAGATTTTGTTTTCGTGAAATAGTTTATGTAGTTTCTTATAATTATGTTAATTGTTTTTTAAACATTATTATTGGTTGAGCCATTAAAATATTTAGTGCGTATTAAATGTGCATTGATGTGGGGGTGTTATGCTATTAGGTGGTTCAGATTTGAAAAGTCAACTTATGACTAAATGCAAAATTAAGTTGCTGTAGTATTAATTATTAATTATAATTTATATGTTGTTAAGGTGAATGATAATTTAGAAAATTTTCAATTAATCTTTAAATCTGAAAACGTGATTTGTCTAATCAAATAGAAAACAATATCATTCATAATCAATGATATCCTTGAAATGTTTACTATGATATTTGTTCATAACATAACAAAAGTTACTCAAATTATGTATGATTTTAAACGTGATATATACAGTAAAGTCTTAATATTTTCATCGATTTGAAAAGAAATTCCTAAACTTTATTTTTTTTACAGTAAAGTCTAAATTACCGGCATTTTTTGACACTTTTACCCTTTTTTCCCGGTTAGCCGGTAATTAGGACTTTTTTGTCAAAAAAAAATAAAGTTTAGGACTTTCTTGTCAAATCGTCAATTAGGACTTTACTGTCAAAAAAATAAAGTTTAGGACTTTCTTGTCAAATCGTTAAAAATATTTTGGACTTTAGTATATATATAATTTTTTTTTGTTAGAAATTTAATGGTATGATACTCTTTAAGCATAAGAGTTATTTAAACCTTCTCTAATCAGCTAGATCATATTGAAATTCTTAACGTTTGCTTCTTGTTAAATCGTTTTTTTAATCTCAACAAACCGACATTGAAAAAAATTGAGATAATCAAGAAAGAAAGAAAGAAAGAACCAGGGTTGTTTGACTTTTTGCAGTCCAAAAAATGGAGAAATAAGAAACCGAAAAAAACGAAATTGCTCTTCTTTCCCTTCTCCACATTCACACCCTTTTGACTAAGCATGTGTTGTTTGTGTTTGTATAAAGCCAGGACAATTTCATTTTTTTCGGTTTCTTATTTCTCCATTTTTGGGACTGCAAAAAGACAACACAACCCTGGTTCTTTCTTTCTTTCTTGATTATCTCCATTTTTTTCAATGTCGTTTTGTTGAGATTAAAAAAACGATTTAACAAGAAGCAAATGTTAAAGATTTCAATAGGATCTAGCTGACTAGAGAATGTTTTAATAACTCTTATGCTTAAAGAGTATCATACCATTAAATTTCTAACAAAAAAAATGAGATATACACTAAAGCCCTAATATTTTCAACGATTTGACAAGAAAATCCTAAACTTTATTTTTTGTTTTAATTGACGATTTAACAAGAAAGTCCTAAACTTATTTTTTTGACAAAAAAGTCCTAATTACTGGCTAACCGGGAAAAAATGGTAAAAGTGTCAAAAACTGCCGGTAATTTTGACTTTACTGTCAAAAAAATAAAGTTTAGGACTTTCTTGTCAAGTCGATAAAAATATTGGGACTTTACTGTATATATCCCATTTTAAACAATATACATATATATTTAGATACTGACCTTTTTTGTCGTCTTAATTTTTCATAAATGTAAATTTTGCTTTAAAAATTAAACTAAAACCTAAAATTAGGTTGTGTTTAGTGTGTTATATCTAGTTTATTTTCAAACTTTTAAAAATTGTAATATTTTGTCTAGTCATGTCTAGTCCACTTGGTTAATACGAAGGTTCTAAACTAACAACTATCTAAGAAGTTCTGGGTTCAATCACAGAAAGAAGAGTTAGATAATTATTTGTCGTTTCAAAAAAAAAAATACTCTTAATTAATTTTAAAAAACTTGTTCTGATAAATGTTTTTATATCTTTCAGCTATGTTATCAAGTATTTTTTTAACAAACATCATTTTTTATCGGCTAATTTAAAATGTAACAACTAAATTTTCAGTTAATACGTCAAACGTAACTTATATCCACTGGTTTAAGGTTGTTTTGCAGTTTAATTATAAAAACACTATTAAAAATTTAGAATTTAATAGTTTTCATATGTATATATTTATTATTTTATGCTGTAATAAATACAATAAATTTTTTAAGTTATCATTGCTCATCTGTTCTTCAATTTTTTTTATAGAAATTAAAGCTTTCATAATTCATAGATGCAAAATTTATGTCCATACAGACTGTCAATGTCATCTCTCTCTCCTTCTATCTCTTTGACTTGCAGAGTCTCCCCATTCAAGTACTCTTCAAAAAGCTTCAAAATCCGTTAATGGCCTTTTGATTTATATGATTTGAGAGATGGGTTTTCTTCCTTTCGTATGATTTAATCTTAAATTTCCAATTTTTACCACTTTCCACTCTTCCCCCAAGAAATGGATCGGAAAATTCTTCTTTCACCGTACATAAGGCCGTATTTTTACACTCAGCCACCACTTCCTCCGCCGCCACCACCACCGTTTATTCAAGCCGCCTCTTCCGGTTCAAATTTCAACGACAATGTGAGTCCAAGTGTTCTGCTAATCATCATTATCCTCGCCGTTATATTCTTCATCTCCGGATTGCTTCATCTTCTTGTTAGATTTCTTATAAAACCATCAAATAGAGACCCAGATGAATTCGACAATGTGACTGCTCTTCAAGGTCAGTTACAGCAACTCTTCACTCTCCATGACTCCGGCGTTGACCAATCCTTCATCGACACGCTTCCTGTTTTCACTTACAAATCAATAATCGGTTTGAAAAACCCTTTTGATTGTGCTGTGTGTTTGTGCGAATTCGAAGGGGATGATCAGCTTAGATTATTGCCGAAATGTAGTCATGCTTTTCATATGGATTGTATCGATACATGGCTTTTATCTCATTCCACTTGCCCTCTTTGTAGAAGCAATTTGCTTTCTGATTATGCTCCAAACACTTATCGTTCGCCATTTGTTCTTGTTCTTGAATCTGGAAGTAACGAGAGTTCTCGAGAGATTGTAGCCGAGCCCACAATTCAAAGGGCGAGTTCTCGTTTTAGTGTTGATGAATCCCAATCCGAATCCGACCCTGTTAATTCTGGTCAAAACGAGGTGAAAGAAGAGGAGAATAAGGAAAAAGTTGTTACAGTTAAGCTTGGGAAGTTTAAGAATGTGGATGGTGGAGGCGGCGGTGACGGCGGTGGCGAGAAGAGTAACATTGACGAAAGAAGGTGTTTTTCAATGGGTTCTTTCGAGTATGTGATGGATGATAATTCATCTTTACAAGTTTCCGTTAGAACTCAAGTGAAGAAACTATCTCACAAAAAGTCAAACCTCCCAATCACCCCTGGTCACCGGCCGGCGATATCTGAATGTGGCGGCGATTCAAGACGAGATTTCAAAGATTTTGAAGCATATAGAGGCGGCAGTATAATGAAAGAGAGCTTTTCAGTTTCCAAGATTTGGCTTAGAGGGAAAAAAGAGAAGCCAGATTCAACACCATCGGCGGCCATTGAGCCACCATCAACCACCACTTTCTCCCTACAGTTTTTGCTCCGGCAAAATGTCGCCGGAGAAGAAGCAAAGGTTTCTGAGATGGGATGTGACAATCATGAAGTACAGAGTTGTCATAGTCTTGATTTACCAACATCAACATCAAATCAACCGTCTTTTGCAAAAAGGAGTTTGCTTTGGCTTATGGGCAAGAAAAACAAGGTGGTGCATTCATCTTCTTCGTCAATGAATGTTTGAAATTTTTTGTCCACAAATACGTTTTTATTTTTATTTTAGATAAGTGAAGTGTACTTTGTTAAAGTTTGAGGGAGATTTGATTCTTACGAGTACAAAGGAATTCAAGATTGATCCGATTAAAGGAACCTTAAGTTATAACGTATGCATTTTTGTGATTAGTTACTTTTGTTACATGTGAAGATGAGTAATGTATGTCGTTTTAACAGTTTGGTAAATGTTATTTCGTATGTCTTTAGTTAGTAAAATGATGAAAATCGATACCATTAATGCCACAATACTCAAATAGAAAAATATAGACCTAAATCCTTAATTGTCAAAACAGACATATAAGTTTATTTTTCGAACAACCTCTTAGCTAGCCACACCGGTACTTTTGTTACTATGTGAAGATGCATGATGTTTGTCGTTTTAACAGGTTGTTAAATCTCATATCGTGGATTATTAGTTAATCACAAGATTCAATTCGACACATTCATGCCACAAGATTCTAATAGAAAAATCTAGACTAAAATTCAGTCTTCGTAGCTCTCAAACAGATATATAGGCTTATCATTCGAGCAACATTTGAGCTGTCTCACAGTTCAATCCTACGAGCATCATGTGAGATATAAATTGGGTTGCACAACTCACATTGATATTAACACTTCATTTTGTAGTTGTTGCAATTCAAACCCTTTAACGGTCACCGAAAGTATACCATATTGGTACCAATTATGGACGCTCTAGGTTGTTATTCTTGCAAAAATGTGAGTATCAAAAGACAATGTAGAGTTTTGATTCTAATAATGATAATGATTTACTTCTTTCTAGGCATCATACTCTTACGCCATCAATTATGTCCGATTTACATTTGACGGTATATGCCAATAACTAAGGTTGCTGAAAGAATAACAATTCCAAAAACAATTACATACAATTCAAAAAAGGTTCGTATGTAACACTTATTTTTAGTTCTATCATATCTAAAGAGTTTCAAGATACCGAATCATTTAATTCGATGATAAAACTAATTTGTTTTATATAGCTGATACACATGCATACATATATATCTTTCTTTATGAAGGCACACATGTCTAGGTTTTCTTCTTTGTTGTTGTTCCATGTGACTACAATGGTCGTTTGGTAGATATGGTTTTGTTTTTCAAAGAGAAGTAGTTAGCTTCATTTGAATATATGGGCATGTAGTTATTTATGTTTATTTCTAAGTAGGTTTGAGCCTTGAAGTCTTGACATATACTTGATTATGACTCCTACTTCAAGAAAAAAAGATGATTGTGATGCAGACCGCTCTCTTTTTCATTAAGTTGTGTACTTTAATGAAGCAATAAAATTGTACCAACTGATTTTCTGCAAATTCATATTTCTATATCAGTAAATGAATTAAACCGATCATTGAGTGTATATATATATATATATATATATATATATATATATATATATATATATATATATATATATATATATATATATATATATATGGAGAGGATCAAATGAAAACACATAAAAAGTTGAGAACGCGAGAACAGTTCTGGACCAATCAATATACAAAGGTATATGGGTAAATGTGTATTTTAATTAAATTATAAAAAATAAATTAAAATGGTATGTTACTAAATTTTAGGGATTCAAAATACTGTTACTAAAAACGAGAATTATTCATTTTTATATATTAATTAAAGATAAAAAACATTTTATCAATTTTCTGTCTAAATTTAAAAATCAAAATATTTTATCTTGTTTTACCTAATTCATGTTCATAAATGAAAAAATATCAAACTAATTTATCTTGAATACATAAACGACTTGCTTTAGTTTTATCAAGTATTGTCATATTCATAAGTGAAGATGCCATGACTAGACTCGTTTTTTTTTCCATGAATTGAAAACAAAGAATGTTAAGAATTTATCATTTCATTCGAAAAGAATAAACCACTAATCATAATCATAAATGAATACAAATCTAAACAAACTCACTTCATTACAAAAGAATAAACCTCTAATCATAATCATAAACGAATACAACTTTATTTTAACAAAATACAAAAGACTTCTAAATTTCTACATTTCCGGTGGTTATATTCATTGATAAATATACCACTAATCATAAATGACTTCATACGTCGTTATTTTTCTTTAAATTTTCTTGTTGCTACCATACAAATAAAAACAAAGAGAGGCGCCCTTGATCATGCTGTCGATTTCCCAACTTAGAGTTATCCTTATTCAAAATATCAAGCTCTTAGATTAAACCTGTTCAAAACATCAATCATTAAGGTATAAACGCATGCGGTTATAATATAGTTATATTCATTGATGATTAAACTCAAACAACCTATTTATAAAATATGATTTATCAGTTTTGACATTCACTTGAGAGTCTTCTAAATAATCTTGAATGTTTCCTAAAAGTCCTTCACTATCCAAAACACATTTGATGAACTTGCCCCACAATTTTCCTGAATTTAAAAAAACAAATTTATATTAAAAAAATCACAAAAAAAAAACTCTATTCAGAAATGAATCATGTTACAAGCGGTAATGGAAGATATACAATCAATAAAAAAACTCTATTCAGAAATGAATCATGTTGCAAACAGTAATGGAATATATACAATCAATAGTGAATCCAATTGATCGTATTAATAACTTTAAATTTCCATAACAAAATACAACCAACAATCAAATATTTATAATTCATGATCAGGTTCTCCACTTGCAACCAAGATTTTCACAAGGTTGATAACACAACCAAGTAAAGATGCGATATTGAGAAAAAGGGTTGAAAAAAAAGAGGGTTGGTTTGGTTCGGTGTTGTCAAATGGTCGTAATCCACAAAGCAAATAATGTTCAAACAAAAGAGATGGGTGTTGCTTTCTCTATTCCTTTGCAATCACTTATGACCACCCAACAATGGCAAGGAATCGAAACTTACCTGAGTCGTCACTGCCTTGCTGCGCCGGAGTGGAGGCGAGGTTGCGCCGGTGAGTAGAAATCAATGAAATCATTGACGAAGAAGCGAACAGGGAACCGGTTACCTGAGTTGTCGCTGCCTTGTTACGCTGGAGTGGAGGCGAGGTTGCGCCGGTGAGTAGAAATCAATGGGATCACCGACGAAGTAACGAATAGGGAACCGGTCTTCGGAGGCGTGTATAGGACGAGTTGAGCCGACGATTGAGAAATGTGAGAAAGAGGTTTCTAAGAAGGAGGCGGCATTAGAAACCCTAGAGAGGGGGAAATATAGATACGAGAAGATGAAAGGAAATAGGTGAGAGAGTGAGAAATTATAGGAAATAAGTAAAGTTGCAATTCCTATTATGCCCTTCTGACCATTTAAATGTTACACTTTAATGCCAACAGTTTTAGAATTTTTCATAAATCGCCCCTTTAATAATAACTTTATATTTAAATATTTAAAGGATCCATATATGTTCTCGCGTTCTCAACCTTTTAGGTGTTCTCATTTGATCCTACTCCTATATATATATATATATATATATATATATATATATATATATATATATATATATATATATATATATATATATATATATATATATATATATCATTTAAAGTCTTATAACTATGTCAAATAATAATGAGTAGGCTATGTGGTTATAGACCTATGGTATTTAAATAAAGAAAGTTTATGAATTGTTGGACATAATTTGTGGGAAATAAATATTAGGAGGGGACCTAAACAACATTAAATGTTGTCACGAGCAATTTGTTTTTGATGCCCCATCATGCCTTATATGGTCCCCTCGCTTCCTTATCATTTCACTTTCATTAAATTACACCGGAAAGATCATATGTACAAAGCCGACCCCGAGATTTTAGAGACCATGTGATTTAACGAAACCATTATTTTCTCCTTTAAAATGTAGGTATACATTACAACCCTGTGCAATTACATATTACAAACTATCAAACCACAGAAACCATTATTTTCTCCTTTAAAAGTTAGATATACATTAAAATTGGTGTGAAGTTGAATTACTTGAATAGTAATCTTTTTGTCTATGTTACTTTATGAAGGTTTGAGCCCAAGATGTAGAAGATGGGCCTGGACATATCACACGAGCTATTTTGTGCAGTTTGGCCCAGTTATTATGTAGCTAATACAAATTTACAATACATGTAATGAGAGGTAAATGTTGTAATGTTTGGTTTTATTACTAAACAATTTTATAGTATATACTATTCATTTGAATAAAAGTAAATGATTAGAATAGTAGTTTTTGATAATTAACAAGCATATGTAATAAAATATAGACAAAATTTCACAGGTGTCCTTAAACTTTTTCGTTTGTTCCTTAAATGGTTTCTATGAAACTTTTTTCCCATTGACGTTCCATACGGAGCAAACCTTGCATACAACTGTCCCTTATGATTGACACCATTATTTTTCTATTAAATAAAATATGAAAAGACTATATTGCCCCCCTTTTAATTAATTGTTAACCGGTGGGCTCTCTCTCTCTCTCTCTCTCTCTCTCTCTCTCTCTCCCACCATACTAGACTTCATCTTCCCACTTTCAAACCTAAAGTCCCAGTAAACTTTGAGACCAAAAAAATTGAGACACACACATATACACACTCCAAAAAATCAAGGTCCCTCTCCTCACTTACAAGAGCATGTCTATGTAAAAGGATCAAATCAAAGAACATGGGAGAGTTTTTCTTGAGTCCGATTTTGCAGGTGAGTCAACAAAAACGATGATCAACTGGAAACTTGTAGAAGATGACAAATTGTGATTAGGGTTTCTTTTTTGCGTCAGTAGGCGATGGGTGTGATGATATTCGTATGTATGATAATGTTCATATTTAATGGTTTAGGATTAGATGGTGATGGTTTAGGTGGTACATTGGTGATGATTAGGTTAGAATGTAGGCTAATAAACAACACGTGGTGTTCAGATGCAGTTATGATGGTTAAAGAGAAGATGACGAAGGTGACTGTGTGAGGTTTGTGATGAAATGGAAATGGAATCCTCTTGATC